ATCATTTTTATTGATCTTAATTTAAGATGATTATATTATTTAATTATCTTAATTAAAGATTTATAAATATGATTAATTAATTTCAAGTAATTTTAATTAATGTTAAATTTATCAATTATCTTAGTTAATTAATTTACATATTTAATTTCCTTTAATCTTGCTCAAAGTCAAAATTATTTTTCTTTCTTTCAAATTTCACTCAAAACGTTGATAATTAAGCAATTTAGTCCAAAGGTTTCAAATCCTTTCAAATTAGTCCTTTATGTTTGTGAATTTAATCAAGTTATTCCTTCATGTTTCGAATCTAATCAAATTTGTCCCTTAACTTCTTGTTTATGTTATTGTGCATGCATGTCTTTAAGTTAGTCCAAAAAAATTAAAAATGTTTCAATTTGGTACATCCTCTTTTTTTTTTAAAAAAAAACAAAATAATAATAATAATAAAAAATTTTAGACTTAAACATAGACGTAATAAATAAGTTGAATTAAAACCTCAATTTTAAAGTATGCAACCGTGTTTAAACAGAGGATTGTGAGATGCGCGTATACCCTTCCTAACTCCTAATCGAAACCCCGAACCTCGATCTTTGTGCAAATCCGTTTTAGGTGACTTGTCCCACCTTATAATTTGGACGAGTGACGACTCCCTTTTTTTTATATTTTTCTCACTTAATGATTTTTCATTTATTTTGAGAAATCTTAAGTGGTCGTCAACACCTACCGAATACAATGAAGCATTGTTGATTACATCTTACACTGAAGAAACCAATCACTGAATCTCACTTTTTCTAGTGACAAAACTATCACTTTCACATAAAGACTTCTACAGTAATCATTACACAAAAGAGTACTATTTTATTTTGATAAGGGCAAGATGTTGCATGTATTTTTCTTATTGGAATCTATTTATTCTCCATTAGGAGTCTCATATTTTCAAGAGGATGAAGACAAGGTTTTTTATGGGTTATAGGTGTTTGTTGATAAAAGACACCTCTTAACAAACATGTCTTTTCCATTTGAAGAGTTTCAACATATAAAGACACCTTTTCATTTATGCACTTTCCCAAACATTGTCTTCTTTCCTCTATTTTGAAAATTTCCCCAACAATTTCAAATGTTAAACTAATTTTATGAATTGATGGTATTATATTTTGCACTTGGAACTAAGATACATCTTAATTAGAGGGTTTCTCCCGTGCACTGCTTTTAGGGTTGAGAGCAGTGGCAACGGGTTTTTCCTCCCTAGGGTTTCTCTTCGACATAGAAGTTCCTTCGTCCCTCCCTTCTTCTTACCCCTTCCTTCCACCTTTTGATCTCCTCCTTCATCTTGTCGCTGTCTTGCTTTTGAAACTCTAACCCAAGGGACCACAAGGCAACAGTATATTAGGGTTTTCTAGGGTTTACATTTGTTGCTTTTCGAAGGCTGCAATTGGAATTGATCTTACCAATGAAGTGGGTTTCTCCTATTTAACGGGCAAGAATCTCAATTTGGTGCCATTCCTCGGATGAGATCTTGGCGGGGGTTGAATTCGATGAAATTGGTTCACACCCGTTCTTGATAAACTAGCCGATTGTAGAAGGACAAGGATCCTGTTGGTAAAGCCAACTATGGTTTGCATGGGAAGCCTACTATTCAAGCCAGCAAAGGGGCTCTAATTCCCTTATTGAGTTTCGACAGCATGGGTTTGAAGAGGATCGACAATGATGGGAACATGATTGGGTGTATATGGAGGCGATTGGGGGGCCTTGTGTTTGTTTAGAGAAGGCCCCTTTTGTTTGTTCTTCTTTAAAAACAAGTAGGGTGGCAACTTGCGGGTTGGGGACTGTTTGTTGCCGAAATCCCTTGCTCTCCCCAAGAAGTTCGTTAAATAGGTAAGGATGTCTAGTAGTTCTTAATGCTCATACTGACTCCCCTTTTCTATATTAGTAGCCCTATTTAACCCATACAGTTATTGTAATTTCAATATCTAGTTGCAGACGGCTCTCTTTGCTTAATTGTCCACATTTGTCA